TTTACGCTAAAAAAAGAAGAAAGAAAAATTTAAAAAAAAAATCCTGTCTTTAGTGTAAAATTTGTCAGAAATATTTGCTAGTTTCTTTATTTTTCAGCCAAAAAATATTTCTTTTATTTGTTGTGTTATTTATTGTAGTCTGCATTTTGTTAGACGATTGTGAGGTTTACAAAAATAGATTTAACATAAAATACACGCTTAAGTAAAACGAAAAAGTACAAATAAATTAACACATGTATGTATGTACATTTGGGTGGTCCAAAAATGCTAATGGGTGAAGAAAAAGTAAAGTCGGAATTTTAATGCCGCCACCCCCTAGGGTTGTTCTATACCGAAAAAATATACACCTACTTTTTTTAATTTTAAATAGAACAAAAAAATAGGCAGTGCTCAACTTTTCGTAGAAATGATTTCATGAATTAATCAATATTTTTCGATCGGAATCTTAATGCCGCCACCCCCTAGGATTGTTATATACCGAAAAATGGCGTAGAATTCTTGAAAATCAATATTTTTCGATCGGAAAACTCTGTTTCTCTCCAGGAGATTCCCAATAATAAAGAAGAATCCGCCACTCCGGCATTAAAATTCCAACTTTACTGTTTTCGGACCACTCTAATGTACATACTTATGTATGAGTGTATCTAAATATGCGGTTAAATGAAGACGTCATTGTCACTCAAGGCGTTAGCGTATTTGCTTTAGATTTTTTTTCTAATCTATTTTTTTTTTTCTTTGCGATAATTTGCCAGAGTTCAATGTGAGCATACGACGCGCTCAACCATTCTTTATTATGCACATTTACATACTTACATACCATATTAATATGAATGCTCATTAGAGCGTAGCCGAAAAAAAATTTCAATTTCTTCCTAGTGATTTTGAAAACTAGAGCAGGTCTATTCTGTGGTGGCAAGAAAAATTGCTTAGCAGGTAATAAAGTTTCTGTAAATTTGTAAACCCTTTCAGCATTCTGTGCACTCTTGTAACCGTTAAATATTGTTACTATCTTATAAGCTGGTTACAAGATATTATCCCGAAAAATATTCAGTAAAAAAATTTCTACAAAACTTCGTAGCTGAATATATTGACAACGTTACCAACGTACCTTGAATTTTGGTAACAAGTAGTGGTAACAATTTTTGTTAATAAAATTTTGCGGTTAAAAAATCATCGATAACGTGCAGAATACATACATACATATGCTACAATGAGAGTATTTCGGGAGTGTATTTTTTTTTTAAATAACTAAATCGGCTTTTTAACCGACTTCAAAGAAAGGAAAAGGTTATCAATTCGTCGGAATATTTTTTTCTTTTTTGTATTTTACCACATAAATTTGGACCACTTTTTTTAAAGCAAACCATACCAATTTGGTTTAGATCCGTTCATTGAATCATTAAGAAATTAACTGTACTTTTAAATTTTTAGATGAGAAGTAAAGTCGGTTCTGTTTTTTTTTGCTTAGAAATTTCTTGTTCTCTACAAGTTTTTTATTTGATGTCCGTGCTCTTTAAAGGATACGCTTAGATATACACTTGCAAAATTTATGGGATGCGCCAATAGCTCTACATATAAAAATGTAGATTTTCTACCTTTACAATGGTGTATCATGTATCGAAATCGGTGTTTACTTAAAAAAAAGTTATAAAACCCCGATTTAGCTGTTTTACAGGGTGCCGAAAAAAATTGTTGCACTGCTGAAATACTCTCATTCTAAGTGTTCAAAATCGCTTGGAACTAATTGAACTGTTTTGTACCACACATCATGATACGGTCTAATGTACATACATACATATAGATACATATGTACGCATTTAGAAATAGTCGCTTGTCAGTCACACTTTTCTTGTATTAGAAATTTACTTTGCAACTTAATTTTCCTTGCATACATAAGTACATAAATAGTGTCCGTAATACCTAGCATATCACTATTTATTTTTGTTCGCATTTATTTTTACTAAATTAAAATGTACGCCCACTTGTTTGGAAATTATTTCTTTTAGTTAATATTAAATTTGAACGATGGACGGCATAAAGTGGGCGTGTGACAATTACAACGCATATGAATTTATTGCGGTTTCGTTAAATTAATTTTGCCATTTTCAAGTGATTTTTCTTGTTGTTGTTGTCACTCAGCTGGATATTGTACAGAAAACAAATCTAATATTTTCATATTTCCCACGGACAATTATTTTGAATCAGTGCTGCTACAGCTGAATAGTTCTTGTGCGGCATTTAGTCAAATGATATTTTCAGATGCAGAGAACAAAGGTGGCGCCCATCTCGGTACCGCTATTCCGCTCTTAGTAAATTTGACAGAACCACTGTTTGTATGACGTCACACCAGGCTACTTGTTTACGTTTTTCTTGCAAAATCTTTTCTTCTTTTTCCATTCTTGCTCGCGTTTTGGCATTTCTCTCTCGCAAATGCACCAGTGTGACGTCACACAAAAATTAATTTCAAAAATCCTCTCTGATGGGAGCAATCTTGAATTCTATCAGTCTTGTATATAGTTTATGGATGTACGTACGGATGGATGCATGTAGATGTACTTTTAAAAATTGTAAACGAAATTTTTCTTTCAAAAATAGAATTTAGCTTTTACTAAAATAATCAGTCTTCTAGACCAGCTCCTATTATTTTGTTTATTGAATTTGTACATAAAATAAATAGGTACTATGCAAAATAAAAAAGAAAATGGGAGAAGGTGTAGATATTCACGACTCGCGAAACATTAAAAGGTTTTTTAATTTTATTTATTTTTTGGTTAAAACCAGCATATACTCTGAGTATCACAAAAATTGGATAACATTTAAGCACACAAAAGCTGTAGGCGTGGCAGTGTGTCAACTTTGACCATTTTCCACATTTCTTCATTCCTAAATGCAGAATAGAGCATTACATACATAAAAAATGTGTCTGCTGATTTGTAGTATGGTTACAATTTTTGGCCGCAGCTTATATGGGGACGTCCCACTGTGCGCCGTAGCCTACTACTTGTATTAATTGCAGTATATACACATATGCACATACCAACAATTATGCATTGGAAATCCCATAAAATCTAAAATAGTTTTGAATTGTAAGTAAAGCTATTTTTATTTTTATACGTTTTTGGCTTAGTGTAGTTTTGATTGATATGGTCGTAAATATTTTAATTGCATTTCTGCATATTTACTTACATACATACATATGTATGTAAAATACCAAAAGATATAATAAAAATTTGGCTTTCTTGAAATGCGGAACCAGATTTCCATTTTTTCCCATTTGTTCATTGACGTCAGGGCAATTACATATTTTTTTCTCAGCTGTTAAGTTTAGAACAATTTGTTTTATTGTGTGATACGAGTACGATTCGGATAGAATATACTGAAATGATAATACAAGAGTTATAAGAAATATTTTTTAGCGTTCTTGAAAATTTTTTACATAAAATCTTGCATAAAAAAAATTACTTAATTAATTATCGATATTTGCATTTAGTCATATATGTAATACTCCTATATTGGCAGTAAGAGCTATCAAAAAACACGTACGAAAGAAAAGGAACACATACGTTTATAAATAAACATGTACACAACACATTTACAAAAACGGCACTCAAGTACACAATACATTGACAAAAACAGTACTAGACTGTCTCGCTTTGATTTCGGAATGCTTACACATTGAGAAGTTAGCTTACTGCTAATATAGAAGTATTACATATTTGCATTTAGTACATTTTTGGGCGTATTTTTGTTTTCGTAAAAATCGAAAATCATAAAATTTTCCTTTCGTTTTCTATACAAACATTTCAAATGTTCGATTCATACGAAAACAAAAAAACGCCTCCTTATGTGCACTAATTCTGCTCTAAAACCAAAATATATCACAGAATTAAAATAATTTGCTATGAAGTGATGGGTTTTAAGACAATGCTTTTCGTTTCTTCTTCATGATTTTTGCAATAGATTTATAGATAAACATTGGTGCATTGAAATATATTCCAAAATATACTCAACTAAAATGGAGTCCAGCACTCTTATATCAAAAAGGTTTAGTTTCCGAGCACAGCCCGCGAAATGCAATAGTTTTTTTACTTGATTGTTGGATTAGTTAGAATCCGAAATTTTGATTGGAAAAAAAGTTGTTGAAAATATTTATTTAAATATATTGAACCTGCATATTGTTCAGAAAATAGGTTAGTATTTTAAACAAAAAAATATATGTACATTAGGGTGGTCCTTAAATGTAGGAAGCAAATTTTTACATCATATTTCCTAAGCCTCAACCCCTACGTCGATGCTACAATAGTCGAAGATATCATATATAAATTTGTGTCCCGATTGAAGTCGGTTAAGGCGTGTCGCACAGAGGTCAAACTTCAGATTCCTCTATAGAGACTCAAAAAATCTAAATTATTTACTGATAGAATAGTGAGATTCATAATATCCAATCCGTTAGAGGTATTAAAAAAAAATTATTCAATTCGGCAAAAAATTTCCCATTGTATTTAGAAGGTAGAATTCGCCTTTTTATATTTTTCGTCAAATCTACGGCATTTACAGTGGTTTTTAAAGAAGCACACACATTTTACATTTTTAATTAAATCCAATTAAATAAATAGTTTACAGTCACATATGCTTGCTAAACTAATTTTAGCTCTTTACAGTAACATCATTATGTGGAATTCAATTGCAATTTTTTTAAGCGAATTTTATTTTGTTTCACTATGAAATAATTTGAAAATCAAAAACAAATATATTAGCTATCTATAGCATGCCTTCTTCAATTGATATGTTTTTCTTATTTCTATTTTCTAGATTTTTCTATAGTGAATGCAATTGAAAGCAAGCTCTTACTATCTACATACATATATGTAACTAAACATACTCTATACATATACCCGTCTATTACTTTGAAAAAGACATTAGGATGTTTAATTTCTTGCAAACAAAAAAAAAACGTATTCGGTAGTTGCTTGAATAAAAAATACACATTTTTACTTTGCTACTTTTTGAAATTATTTGGTGATAATTAAAAATTAAAATCATTCAATGATGTTTAAAATAATTATATAAAACGACTTGCGAGTGCTGTTAAAATGAGTATCGATTGTGATAAAAATGTTGCAGTGTAAAAGCAATAAAGCTGATTGAAGGCAATAAAGGGGAGTGGTTCCAGGAGTAAATGAGCTACATATAAAGGAAATAACAGATATCATATTTTTATGACTACTTAATTTTGCTGATGGATTTTCAATGAGGCGTCTGAGTCTGACTGAAAAGAATAGATGAAAATAATTAAGAAAAGCCGATGAAAGGTAAAAAAATTTTGGCTAGTTTTAATTAAAAAATAAATAAATTTTAATACTCATAAAAATATTTTTCTTCGAAACCCATAAAAAATAGCCACACAACCATCTCTTAGATAAATTTTGCTTTCCTTTGACAGCTTAGCGCTTCTAGCATTCTACACTCTACATTCTCATTCTTTTTCTCTCTCCTAAATTCTAGTTCAAAGAACTCATCAAACACCAAATTACAAACTTATAAAAAGTGACAAGAATATTGTCTAGAATGGGTCGCTGGCGACTGCCAACGGGCACCCCAACACCCATGACGTACAACAAATGGCTGCTGCGGTTAACAGGTGAGCTTTATGCGCAATGACGTCATACATACATACATACTTATAGAGATGTGCATATTTATTTTTATAAATTTTTACATGCTCATGCATATATGCATATGATTGAAAAAACACTTTCCACCATTTGATCTATAAATAACAGCCATCATTTGTCATTGTTGATAATGCCAAGCGTCATGCGGAAAAAACGAGAGAAAATCTGGATTTATGTAATTTTAATATTTTTACAAATTTTATAAACTTAGCTAGCGAATTTTCCGCGCCGCCAAGCTGGCACATACGATTTATGTGAAATTATTTTTGTCAATAAATTTTATAAATATTAATAGTTATTTACTTACATTTATAGCAGCAGTGAGTTCCTTTAGTTTGATAGTGGAAATTAAAGATTTTACACTAGAAAGACTAAAAAGGCAACGAATTCTAACAAATATTCGTATATAATATCTGAACACTAAATATCCTTCTACTTGATAAAAAAAAAATTGAATTCGTTACTTTAATAAAAAATTGAAGGAGAGTCACTTAGACATCTCCGTCATTCTAGTTCAGCACAGCGTGTCAGAAATTGGTATTACATAGTTGTCATGTAAATATATGCAAATGTTTTTATAATATTAGTTTGAAAATGAGAAATAGAAATTGCAAAAATTTTACGGCAGTGAAACAGGTAGTAGTTAGCATTAGAGCTAAAACAAGATATGAAATAAAAAAAAAAAAATTAAAAAAAATTAAAAAAAATTGTAGCGACCAAAGCGAATTCATGCAAGGTGGTGTTACCGTAGTAACTGTACTATTTTTCACTTTAACTTTCATTTTAACTTTAGGGTAATTTTCCTGATACAGCTTAAGCAGAAAATAACCGGACATAATTTTCGCTTTTTAATCCTAATGCATTCACAAAAAGTAAGGTTAAGATTTCAAAGATTTCCTAAACGCTACTGAATAAACACGGTGAAAATCTTGAAAAGCTCAGATAGAAAACGAATAAAACACCGAAGTCCACAAAATATGTTGAAAAGTTCCGAATTAAATGCCTAAATAATTCTGTGAGAATCTCAAACAGTCTCGAAAGAAACTAAAAAAATCCCGAAAAATTGAAACTCTCACAAAATATCCGGAAAATTCCAGATAAAAGTATCAAAAAAAACCTTAAGTCTTGAAATAAGTGTATCAAAATTGCTTAACATTTCATGTTTAGATTCAAACCGTTGAACGTGAAAATTTACTAAGAATCGGGAAGAAGCACGAATAAAAGAGAAAACTAATTAAAAAATATACAGAGAAAATTCCAAAATTATTAAAACAAACGAATAATCTTCAATTATTTTTTATTTTAAAATGTACGGTTGAACCAGAAAATTTCTGAGCAATCCCGAAAACCATTAAATAGTTCCGGAAGAGATCGAAAAAGAACGAAAAAACCGCGATTATTTCAGTTTGAAACTCAAACTTGCCGAAAAATCCCGAAAACTGACGAATGAAAAACGAAAAGTCCCGCGAAGTCCCAAAATGTGAGCCGAGTTGATTTAAGTATCCCGTGAACTTTAGAAAAATTACTAATTGCTTCGGTTTGAAAAAATTACGAAATACCGAGAAAACCTTAAAACCCGCTAAAAAACGAATAATAATGACTAATTGCAGGTTAAGATTAAAATGTACTATGTATTCATTACATTTTTCCTTTCCTTTTTTGTAAAAAAAAAATTTTCGAATTTTTTTTCAATGCCTAGTGGAAAAACAATATAATATTACAGAATTTTCAAATTCATATCATCTTTTATTCTTGTATAATACTAACCTGAAAATAAACGCACAGGGAAAAGGTTTCCTTCGTTGAATTTAGTAAAAATCTAAAGAAAATGAAATTTAACTCAATCAAATCGTATACAAACTTCAATATTATTTATGATTTTATCCAGGTGCAGAATTAATTTGAAATATTTCCATGAAAATATTTTCAATGATTAACATTTATGTATACAATACAGCACAATGCCCAATGCAATATACTTACACTTTCTCACATCAGACCGCGCCGAGAAAAAAGAATCTAAAATTATTCAAATTTTTTGAGCAAGTAAAATTTATGTTTCGGCCAGAAACTGCGCACATTAACCCTCTGCGGCCCTCGAACCTGCTTGGTTTCATTAGAGCACTAAAGCTGAACGAGGTTTTGTTGTGATTTCTGAAGGTACAATACACTATGTAAATCCTCTATCAAACCTCTGTATCTATCTAAACACATCTATATAATTCTTTTACAGTGGGCCGAATACCAAGATTTTTTTACATTAAAAAAAAATACACTCATAGCAAATGTGTATTTGTATGAACATCTTAATGTTATTCCACAAATGGAGCGACCTGTAGTGTTACGCCACCACCGAATGGCAAATGGATTGTAAGAGAAGCTTTTTCATGTCAGATATACACTCGAAGGTTTGTCATTGCCTGCCGAGTGGCGATCATAGAGGGAAAATTTTTTATATTTTGAGATGTTGCTCGAGACACGAATAAAAGGCTAGTCCTACCGGTCGGATTTTCGCACCTCTAACCACTTAGCAATGATGGCCCCATACTAAATAAGTTCAAAATCAGTTGAAACTATTAATCTTTATTTTTGCTCCATATATTACCATCCGGTCTAATAAACAAATGTACTTTATTTATACAAAAATATGCACATATTTATGCCGAATCGATATGCCTTCTTTTCAACTCTTCAAAGCAACCAATTTGCATGGCGCATTTAGAGAAAAATAATTGATTTTTAGGAAACATCTATTTCTACAAAGTTTTCAAAGCCAAAGTAATCAAGAGAGAACAACCAATAATCCAATAAATGTATTCAATGGCAAGCAATAAAAATATTAACAACCCAATTCAGCGCCACTGAGCAGTCAAATCATTGATCTTTAAATACAAATTTGAGTTTTATAGCTTCGTTTCGCTGTTAACAATATACGAACGTTGTGTATCGACATATTTTTATACATGTAGGACATGTGTATACATATTCATTAGACCGTACCAGAAAAAATAGTTCGCCGTATACCGCTCAGTCTGAGGTCTTTTTGAAATGCAATTTCGGAAAAGGTTGTTTTTTTGCTGAACGTAGGATCCCTACATGTTTCGTCTTATCTTCAGCGTTTAAATTCGGATCTCAAATTATGATATATCGATGTTCCTACTTACTTTAGACTCAGGGGTGTACCGGTCTAATGTACATACTTACGTCGTCTACAACAATATGTTATTACAAATCGACGTGTGTGACGTATTATTTTATTCCCTTGCTTGTTTCTTTTGTTGCAAACTTTATTTGTTTATTTATTCAGTCGCGTGTGCCTCAGTACGTATGTATGTATGTACATACTCATGCTCATATATAAAGTCGATGTGCAAAGTTTTAGCACACTCGGGCGTGAAATGTCTACTACTTAATAGGCTAATAATCCCGGCGGCAATACTACTCTTAACAGGCACACAGTATTTGCCCACTCTTAACGGTTTACACGCGATAAGATTAAGAGGTGAGAAGAGTCGAATTTGCGTTAGCCTCGACCATACGGTAAATGTTGTTTGCATGTGTCAGCAGTAATTGTGCTGGTAAAACAATGCAACAATGGTGGCTGTTGTGGATCTTTATCGTAGCCACATTGAGGGTGGATGGGCAGCCGATTTCATTGTAAAGGTTATGGAGGCTATAAGAGCGTTGGTTGAGTTACATTGTTAGGATAATAGCATGGTATTGAATGGGCCATTTATTTGCAAACAATGAACCTTAATGTACTTGCGCTAAAACCCATTTGAAATACGAGGCCACAATAATTAGCCTAAATAGCGAGATTTAGGACGTGGAGAATGGAGACTCATGTACGCTGTCTGCTATTGCGAAAGCGTTGAGGGCATACCTCTGATTGAGTTTGCGTCTCTTACTTTCGCTTGAAAAATTTTATTAGTCTTTGAAAGTGATTTTTCAGAACAGATAGTGGTTAATACTCGCTTAGTTTATAACTACTAGGTAGGGTGAGGTTACGCTGGTTGCGACTTCGCCCAGTCCGGAGGAGAGACACACTTACATAGGCCAGTTAGGCCCATTGTGATGCCACTTTAGCGAACTTTTGTCCCGTTAAATTTTACCATCAACTGGACTTTTTTATCTGCGTACGTGAACTTTAAAATGTTCCTTTCGCGATATATGTACATATGTGCATTAGGGTGGTCCAAAAATGCATGGGGGAAAAAGTAAAATCGGAATTTTTATGCTCTAACCCCCTAGGATTGTTCTATACCGAAAAATTTACCCATATTTTTTTATTATTTTGAAATCAAAAATATTTAGAGGTCGCTCAAAGCGCTCAAATGGTATAGAATTCTTGTAAAGCAATATAATTCTACCGGAAAACTCTGCTTCTCTTCTGGAGATTGCCAATAATAATACCCAATCATTAATTTAACAATTTTTTCATAGTAACTATAATTTATAGGTCCGACAAAACCATCAGAAAATGCCAAAAAATGCAATGGTGGGATAAAAAAAAAACTTTTGTATTAAAGATTGGTTAAATAAACAATTGGGTATGGTTATTGGAAGTCTCCTGAAGAGAATCAGGGTTTTCCGAACGAAAAATATTGATTTTCAAGAATTCGACACCATTTCTACGAAAAATGGTTTTTCCCATATCAAATGCATGGAAAACGTTGAGGTGAGAGCATTAAAATTGCGACTTTACTTATTTTGGACCATCCTAATGTACATATGTTTCGGTCATAACTGGTCTAAGCTCAGACCAAGGAAATAAGCTCAGTAGGCTATTCAGAAAATTGAGATAGAGCTTAACCTCACTTTTAATGCACACCAGGCTTGAAATTTTTATTTTGAATATTATTTTTTGTCATTAATTTAAGGTATTTGTTAAAAATCTGCTTACAATAAATAATAAAATATGAAAATTTCTTTTTTTATTTTTGATTGATTACTAATCGTTACCACTTATTATTTTATGGTTTTTGTTTTTTATTTTTAATGTTCAACCACTCATCCCCTACAACAATACCGACCACAACAAAATTAATCATGATTTTTTAAATCTGAAATTTCAACAATTACCAAATCAGTTATACTATTTTGTATCAAATGTACAATGGCGGACAATTGCTTTCCATGTAAGTGCAAAAGTAGTTAATTGAAAAACAATATTTTTTTTTTCGTTAAAATTAACAGGCCAATTACCGCCAGCAGACTGTAATTATAAACAAACACAAAACTTACAAACTATATTATTAAGTTTATATTTTGGTACTAATCAATTTGAAATTTGCGAAGTCTTCGAAAGTGCTAGCTAACTATTAGTTGAGTTTTAAATTATTTAGTTATTTACTAACCACGTAGAGAAATGTGTGTATATACATGTATTTTTGATACTAATTGGAGCAAAATCTTCGTTAGAAATTTATAAGCCTATCATAAGATCTGATCATCTGTCACTGTCTGCAAATACAAAAAAAATTTCAAATGCACATTTCTTTCCGGGTTTGTTTGTTCTTTGTTATACATACTATTTGTTTTGTTATTGTTATTGTTTTGAACTAATTAAAAAACTAAATAAAAGCGTAACTACCAAAGCTCTTTGTTAATTTTTGCGTTGATTTGTGGGCTCGATAAATCGTTGATTGGTTCAAATTGACTTGTTGGTTGCTTTGCGTATGTATATTTACGTCTGTCTTGTAAATGTTGCAAACTCGAATAACTGATTATTAAACTATGTATTTACTGTATTTGTCCTGCTAACAGGCAGGCTTGAAAATCCACACATAGTCGATTTGCATAGTGGTAACACATTAGTGTGTACTCGTGACTCAACTTTCTATTCGTTATCTACTCAAACATATTCGTCAGTGAAAATAAGTTGGTCAACTCAGCTACTCGTTACTCTTATTCGTCTATTTTCACTACGAATTCTTGTCTTCTTATATGTTGTTTTAAATTTTCTCATTAATTACGCTGTACAACACCAAAAAAAAAAAAAATCGGATTATGGTGGAGAGGGCCAAAAACAAGTATGTATTCGTGTATCGGCGTTTTGAAATTATACGTCTGAGTTGTATTTTAGAGGCGGTCAAAAAATACCCCCTTTTTCACATAGGGATCAGTTTAGCATTTCTATATTAAATAATGCAGAGAAATTTTTTGTGTAACATTTTAATTCTCCAACTCCTCAATAGATGGACCTTTTTTGTCCTTTTTGCGGAAAAGGGCAAGACAAATCCCTTAAATGTATCAACAAAAAAAATAATCCAATGGGACAAACTTCGTCGAAGCCACTAAAGAGGTCGAAGGCTAAAGTGAGGACATGGAGAGTAAGCTACCGGACTACTGCTATATTCCCCATGAGGAAGTATTGGCAGCCTATCAAATAAACAGGCGAATCTCTATATCGACAGTCAAGCTGCTATAAAGGCGCTACTTCGCTCAGCACTTCCTCAAGGCGGGTGGCGGAGTGCAGGTCAGCTCTGAATTGACTACATACTGGTACTGATTTCCCTCCAAGCGATTAAATGGCGGCTCGACCTGTCCATCATCTTGAAGGTGCAGAAGGGGTAGTGGACCAAAACGAAAAGTTGCAAGATGCCCGGTAACTATTATGTGGAGAGCATACGATATAAAACTTACGAAGTTGCTCTTATCCCTCTGGAAGAAGGAACATAGGTTCCTGGTCAGTTTTCTGATGGGGCGTTTCCTGATGGCATTGAACGCCTTTAAAGTGACTCTGACGAATGATAAGATCTGTAGACGATGTAAAATGAAAGAGAAAACATTGCAACATTTCCCCTACGAGTATCCTGCCTTTAGCAGACTGCGAATTAGTCTCATGGAGCAGGCTTTCTACCTCGCACGGTGGTGGCGCAACCAAGGTTTTCCAGTTTGCTTGGAGGGCTGCGATTCCCTTCAACATTGCTCCTGGTACTCAGTTTTTAGCTGTCTAATGTGGCCGTGGTTTATCTGGTAACGATGGGGGCCTTAATGATATCTGCAAAGCCGCGTAGGCTACCCAATCTTAGTCAGCAGAATAGTAACAACATTATCTTCAACATTGATTTTTTGGTGCTAAGTAGGACCCCTTACTACTGTTAGAGGTCCAAGCGACTTTAACAATCGCTATGATACTCCAATTCTATTATGTCGTATAAGAAGATGTAAAGATGTATCTTAAAGAAATACCGGTGAGGAGGTTCTGCCCTCATAATACAAATGATTCGGCTGTACGGATGCACCCTTTCGAAATTTTTTCATTTTGTCCTTCATATTCAGTTCAGCCTCCATTTTCGTAAACTTGCAACTAATTTTGTGAGTACGAAATTAACCCAATAACACATTTTTAGTTTTGACTTAGGTATTTTTGGCCTCCAATTGGAATTTTGAGACTTTGTGTGTATTGAAAAACTTAAAGTTAGTACATTTTAATCCAATATTTTCCTGTTTTATGTGTTTTGTTTTGCACCTAAAATAAAACTCAGATTAAACTTTCATAACGCCGATACCCATAGTATACTTTTTTCGGCGTAATTTTCAGAAAAAGTTTGAATTTGTTGCACAGTGTGGTTACATTTTGTTCAAATTCATAACTTTTAACAATACAAGCACAAGACGTTTTTGGTTATTTGAGTGTAGGGTCGGTTTTGAGCAAGTCTGATATCTATATAATTTTTATTAGTGATGCCCAAGAACTGCAACGATTATTTTATCCTTGCTGTAATGTGTTAAACTCTACTCTGTTTCTAATGATTTTATTCGAAAATAATTACATTTTGTGTAAAGGTGTTAATTTTTAAATTTTCTGCAAATTATTTTTTTTTTTTGATATTTTGTACAAATTACAGTATCATACTCATAATACTAAGTACGTAGTAATTTTCTATCTTATGTATACTTAAGAGAAAAAACTTAAAGACCAAAAAATAATTATAGTATCTAACTAATTCTACTAGTTTTCTCTTCTTTCCAACAAATGTGTAACGAAAACCCAAACAAAAACAAAAAATATTTGTCTTTCTTCTTCTTCTTTTTTTACTCTTTACAGCGGCATTTGGAGTTCTCATTTTCATTTGGATTCCGCAAGTGTCAGCTGAATGTCAAAGTATGAATTCATGCCTAAAGCAAATGCCACTTTTTTCATTTTACCACTTGCCAAACAAAAAAAAAATGTGTATCTTTTCTTATTAAAAATAAAAATTAAAGCTGTTTTTCTTTATGCGACAATTGCCAAAAATAACTAAATTAAAACAAATTATTTTCTTTTTTCTTACAAATTACGCATTGAAAAAATTTTACATATATATAAAAAGAAATTGAAAAATTAAACGCAAGAATTACTAAATGTTTTAAGCTTTCCGTGTTTAATTATGATAATCATATGATTTCAAGTTTATTTTTATTTCAAAACACTCAAACATGCCTACATAGTCGGTGGAATTTACTATTCGCTTAAATGCAAATACTCGTGTACTATGTTTTTATATTAGCTAATATACATATGTAAGAGAAATGCTTTCAAAAACGGATAATTTTACAATTTTTCGAGAAAAAAAAATACTGAACAAATATTTTCAATGGACTGCCACTTCGAGACATTTTTTTAAGATACTCGGGTCATTTTTAAATTTTTAATTTTTTTTTATTAAAGTTCTAAGACCTACAAAATTTCTATTTCAATCAAACAAAATTCGCCGAACTTTTTATATTGTAGCTTCTTGAAACAAAAGCGAATTATTTTTAACACAAACACATTAGTAGAAAGATATATGGATGCAGCATAACCTCAACATGTTATACTCTGCCGGCATAAGAACCGAATTTTATAAATCTATTTGAGACTAAAATCTATGAAAGGATTGAACGATGTATAAATTTTAATATTTTTGGTAGTTCAGTAAAATTTTAGAGATATACCAAAGTTTTCCCAATTAAAGCAAACATCCAAAGCATACGAAGCTCGCATCTATTTCAGCGAAAACCGTTGAAGTTCTTATAAAACTTGAACATTAACATTCAACTATTCTTTTCTAAAAAATAATTAAAAAGTATTTTTGTTTCTTGTAAATTTTTATGAAGACTGTAATGTTTCAATACTTTCCTACTCTTTACTTTACATATTTATTTATCCTACAAACAAAAAATTCGTACTCACACTTCTTCAGTTAAACAATACTTGATTTTACTATGTAACTTTTTCTGCTAGCAAGCATTCTTTCCTTCACTCTTTATTTACGAAAATAAAAGTTAAAAAATAGTCCTTGCAATTTATATACATTAGGGTGGTCCATATCTTTTCCAGACATCAACCCCCTCATCTCGCACCTCAAAGAAAAAAAATTAATTAGAATATCGAAAACTAAGGGGATCCGTATTTTTGCATTTTCAAATCGGTTAACATTTAACCGTGCCGCCGAAGTTTAATTTCATATTAGGAAAATACATTTTTTGTTACAAATAAATAGTCTTTTATCAAATGAAAATATTAACCTTCAAAAATTTTCAAAAAAAATGGTTAGTAATAGTTAAATTTGTATCATAATTCTTTTTTTGGAATATTTCTGACAGAAATATTTCTACTCGATCAAAAAATGTTTATTGTTAAAAACTTATTTTATGCAAAATATTTATAATATTATATTATATATTTATAAATGGAAAAATTCAAAGCCCCGACGACACGGTTAAAAAAAATACCGGTTTCTTTGTTTGCCATTTTCTATAATTCTGGGGGTGGCAGCAGAAAAGGTTGATTTTTCTATGTTTTTTTGAACCATCCTAATGTACATGTACGTATTAAATAAGACTAGTTATGCCACCAACTTGCATGTATACAAAATTCAGTTGTTACTTTCGAATGCAGCACGACACAAACAATATATTTTTTAAATTATAAAGTAATAAGTAATTATAAGTAAAAGAATTTTATTTTGCATTGTGGTAACTCAAATGTTTTTGGTTACATCTTTGACTACGTCCTAAACTTTTTGACATCACTTAGTAACTAATTAAATAATACACAACAGTTCTTCTCGAAGTTTTTCTGTTTTTTTTTTTTTTGTTTTGTTATTATGAAGACGCTCTTTCAGAAAATAAGCGAAGTTTATGCTCAATTTCGATGTTGGTGTTTCGGAGAATGAAAAATGACATTGAAGATTACACAACGCCGAAATCGGTTTGTCTCTTAACCAAATTTGGCGAGGGATGACGGAAAATCATTCCACAATACATCGAAATTTATGCTTTTGTTTTACGAAAGTTATGAAAAACTGTAAATTTCACAATTTCCCTGGCATTGCAAAAACTGGTTCTTATGTTAACGGCTATGAAGAAAAAATATATGAAAAAATCGAAAAATAAAAAATTTACAGAACTTTAAAATTGAAAAAGTCTTAAAAGCAAACACTTATAAAAATTTGTTGCTGAATTTCTTTTACCCAATACCTCCAACTGATCTTAGAAGAATCTAAAATTTTCGAGAAGGCTACAATTTTTTAACTTTGAAAACGATTTTTTTGCAAACTTGAAACAAATTTATGCTGCACAATTTTTATTGAATTTAAATTAATTTTTAGTTTAGAGTTTGGAGATTTTTTTTGTGTATATTCCAAAAATTTAGTTCTTTAAAAAACGCCTTCTTGAAAATTCCGGCATCTTTTAAGAGCATTAAGAGCTAATGTATAAAAAGAAAATTTAGCTAATAATTTATATAAGTTTTTACGCTTACAATATTTTAAATTTCAAAATTCTGTATTTTTTCATTTTTTATTTTTATATTTTCTATATAGTCCCATGTATCACTTTTGAAACTACATGCTATAGTTTTTAAGATATTTATTCCAAAAATTAACTTTCAAAATCCGAGAAATTTTGAACTTTCAGAAAACTTCGATTTGACATAATTATTTTCTGTTTATGTAATAATGTTTGTAGTTAATCAAAGCAAAATAAGTCATGCATGCACGAATAAAGTATGCAAATATGTATTATATAACGACTTAAAATTTTAAGCCTTTTTAGCTTGAATAATATTTTAGCTAGAAATTAAAAAAAGTTTATCGATTCTGTTTTGTTTGCTAAAACCTTTATATGTATATACTATCTAAGTACATACATTTTTCGGTTTGTTTACTTTCGCTTTAAAACACCTCGAATAATATTATTTTCAAGCGCATTTAACATTTTTGTTGGAGCTTGAATAAATTTTGTTAGAAAAGGTACTTAAAATTACGAAGACATCAAAAACTTTTTATAGTCATATTATGTGGGAAAGTGTTCTTAAATGTACATATATATCGTTGCTGAAATATAGAAAGGCCCTGACATTACAAGAGTGGGAAAAACCAAACCTTCAACACATACAATTCTGTGCTTAGGGCTCTTTTCAAAATGCGATAAAATCGTTGGGTTTTAAGTTACGGCTCTAAGACTTTTAAGAAAGATGTGTTTTAGTAGAAGCTACCGAAAATGCAAAACCCAGTATTTCGAAATAAACAACAATATATATATACAATAGACCTTAGTAGATAAACCAGTAAAAGAACTCAATCTGAAAAAAAAAACTTTTCTTAGTTTGGGATGCAAATTTCGGGGAGTAACATCAATAAGTAAATAAATCGCCAGGAAAAATTGGACATATCGCTGGTTTCCGATGTTTTACGATTCATTAAATCCCAGTTAATTGAAAAAAAATTATCATTTTCAATCCCAACCAGTGCAGTGCAGTCTTTTGAATTTCAGTTAGAGAAATACCTTTATATGTATTTCTCAATATTTAATTAGTCTTCTTATATTTTGTGTCGTAGACGGACGCTTGCCTCTTTTTGATAATTTGGTTAACATTCTTAATACCGGACGAAATTCGAAATTTCCGTATGCTTTCCGAGAATGAAAAATAAAAATGTATGGTCAATCAAAAAAAAATAAATATTTCGAAAATAATGGGTTAGTTGAATCCAAGCCAAGTTTGAGACTCACTAAAGTCGATGTTTAAACATGGTTGAAATGAATAGCGTCCACTTAGGGATGTTAAAAAATTTGAAACATCGATGACATGCATCAGAACGGTATTATCGATGTCTCAATAACATTTACTATACCATTTTGGCTACACCAAATTAAAAAATTAAAATATAGATGCAGCGATTGGTATTTCTGTTAGAGCTTCTCTCAAAATACAAAGAGCACTCACTAATTGCCTGCCAACTGCGAGAATAACTATTCATTCAGTTAATTCGAAATTGTTATAGAATATACTGGAATAAATATACTGGGGTAAATCTAAAAATTCGTTATCAATTGTAGGATGAAAATCTTTTGAACTATAGAAAAAGAGTTTTTTTATGAATCGCATTAATTTAAAGTTCACTTAAAATAAAATAGAAGAGTGGAGGTTTTAAGTCCCCATTAAATTTTTTAAGTTTATAAGACAACAATTTTTTTTTTTTGTAGAAATGTTGTTAAATGAATGAAAAGATATTTTGAATGAGCATCAGACTCCTTTTAAATGAAAAAAATGAAACAAGTAGAAAAGACAACAACAGTTTACATGGAGTGAACTTAGCTCAGTGTGTAGACCACTGGCTTTCCACAAAAAAATATTTCATTACGAAGGGCCTAATGTTCATAAAATTCTTAACTACTAAAATATCATTTGATTTGCTTCGAGAAATTCTATATGTTTTTAAGTTTTGCTTATCTTGCTTTAAATGTATGTATGTGCCTTTGTGTAAGTACTTATGTATGTGTATGTATATTGAATTTTTAGTTTGTAATTAATGTTGCAATGCAAAAATATTTGCATGAAATGTTCTGCACTGAATTTAAAAATAACTAAAAAAAAATATTTAAAAATTTCTAAAAATTAAATATTTTAGTTTTATTCGAAAGTATTACCAGCGCATATATTAACTGATTTCGTTTCCTATAATTCTCAACTGCGATGCACAGCACGTTCCATCTACTGCTATGAATGCGATTCCTGGACGGATGCACGTTGCAAGGATCCCTTCAACTATACGGCACTGCCGCGCGATCAACCACCGCTGATGACCTGCAATGGCTGTTGTGTGAAAATGGTGCGGCATTCTAAATCACGTAAGTGCTATAATATGAAGAAAAAAACCCACGTGCTTGTGTTAGCCCCCTTCTAAGTTTTTTTTTATTAATTAAAAAAAAAAATGAATTTTTTTTATGGCGGGTATTTTGTTATTGTAACTAATCAAAAACATGTCATGCCGTTTAGTAATTTATAAATTCTCTTTAATTTTTCTCTCTCTCTCTCTCACTCTCTTCCACACGCTTATAGCCTACGAAGTTGTACGACGTATGTGTACGTCACAATTGCAAATAAATTTATTTATGGTCGATCATGTGTGCATGATGGAAAGTTCAGGCAATGGACATATGTGCTTTTGTGAGGAAGATATGTGCAATTCTAGTAAAAATTTATTGCAAAATGGTTCACCATACCATTACATCATGATCTCTGCGCTCTCATTCATACTCTATTTACTCAATCGTTTCCAAATGCGTACGCAATTGCAGTCAATCGTTCAACAACAATTGCAAATACATAAACGAAAACAAAAACAACAATCACCAAAACGAAAACAAACGCAAATAGAAAAACATGAACCGAATGTAGAAGAAGAAATAGAAAGCAAACAAAAACAATTATTAAATCAATCACAAAACACCTTCAATCCAATGCAACTTCAACTTCTAAACCAACACCAACACCAACACCAACATAAACCAAATAAGTTAAATGCAAAAAATGAAAATCAACAACAAAAACAAACATTTGATGAAAAAGGAAAATTCGCAGTTATCATTTATCAAGCGCAACCGAACATTGCATGTCCAATAAAAACAAATACAATAAACGATCGATATTCACATCCCGTACACAGATAGAGTGAAGGTACTCCAAAAACCCTACTACAACACAAACAATTGGCGAAATGGGGGAAAATAGTAGTACACCACAGACATAGAATCATATTTACATATGTATGTATGTACATAAATGCCCCAAGTGTACAATGAAGACATACATACATACATACCTATAAACATATTTTCAATAATTTTAATTACATTAAGGAGTAATTAGCACACAATTACATACATACATACATTCATACTATACTCGTATCCATACGCCCCGCGTTCGCTCTACACCCTCGCTCTTTCAGCCCCTACTATTATACACACACACACACACACACCACACTTTACACTTCTTCTCTTTGCCCTAGAAAAGTTTGCTAACTACTATAATTTAAATTTCTTCCCTATTGAGTACTCTTTCGTACATACTTACATAATTGCTATGAGAATTAGCATTAGTTAGTTAAACTTTTGTTGAAATTAATTTTATTTTTTTTCCCCATCTTCTTTTATAAAAAGTGTGTAGTACTCGTATTAATTGAATAGCATTGTGTTGGTTTCAATTAAAACTTATGTCAATTACTTACTTAATTTGGGTGCATAATTTCGTGGTATTTTTAGCATTAGTTATGTAAACTATATTTATTTTTATTTCTTTTGTTATTAATTTAACTTATCAGATTTTAACGTATTGTTTAATGAAAAGAAAAAAGACGTAGTTAATAATTGTTAATTAATTTTTGTAGTAGTAATGCTAAGCATAATATAAAAAAAAACACAAACATAAATAATTTTTTAAGTATTCAAAAGAAAGCGTAAGTGATTATTGAAAACTCGAAACGGCAACAGGATAAGTAAAAAACTCATTTAACGAAAAATAAAATTCTAAGAATTGCATGCAGCTTTAGTGAACTACTACATATTGGAAGTAGCGCCAATGTTGCATACTGAGCTTCGTTAGCAACTATCGCAAATCTGTTAGCTTTCTACTTAACATAGAACAAAGGATGTTTCGTTTGAAGTATTCTTTTAATTTTTTTTTTATACTTACACACAACTATCTGAATACTTGAGAAACACACAATATAAAATCTTCAATTGCATGTAGTATAAAAAGATACTTTTGCACTTACTAAGTAGACCCGAACTCTGTGCGAGAAATGAGCGTAGGTGAAATACTCGTACGATGAAATTTTCTTGTTTAAAATTACATAGTTCTTTATATTCACATATCGTCACCTGAAATGCAAAAAGACGTAACTAATAAAAAATTCAAAATTCACTTTTTGATTGATATGTCCATCATATATCATCGAATTACAACTCCCACATCATTTCATGAAAAAAATGATTAGTCACGATTTTTTACGTTTCAATTACGATGTTGTTACGTCTTTTTGCATTTAAGGTGACGATATATATATGTATGTACATTAGGGTGGTCCAAAAATAGTAGTCAGAATTATAACGCTCTCAACCCCTAGGATTGTTTTATATCAAAAAAAAGGTATACCCCTATTTTTTTATTTTGAAATCAAAAAATATTTAGAGGTCGCTCAAAGCGCTCAAAGTTTTCCATATATTTTTTTATGGGAAAAATAATATTTTTCGTAGAAATGGTGTAGAATTCTTGAAAATCAATATTTTTCGATCGGATAGCTCTGGTTCTCTTCAGGAGACTTTCAATAATAATGCCTTATTGTTTATTTAACCATTTTTTAATACTAACGATTTTTTATTGGTCCCCCATTGCATTTTTCGGGGTTTTTGGCGGATCTATACATTATAATTGCGATGATGAAATGGTTAAATAAACAATTGTGTATTATTACTGGGAATCTTCTTCAGATAAACAGAGTTTTCTAGTAAAAAAAATATTGATTTTTAACTATTCTATACCATTTCCATGAAAAGTTATTTTTTCCCTATATAAAATACATGGAAAACTTTACGCGCTTTGAGCGATCTCTAAATATTTTTGGATTTTAAAATAAAAAATAGGGGTATATTTTTTCGGTATCGAACATAAAAATTCTGACTTTACTTTTTCACATGCATAGTTGGTCCACCCTAATGTACATATATACTTAGTTGTATAAAGAATAAATGTTGTTCGTTAGTAAGCGTATCAATTGAATAGAGTTTTTAAACATGTTAGCATGTATAGTGCTTGTCATAACTTTACGACACTCACATATGTATTTGCAGAATTTGAACATTTAACTTTATATTTTTTGATTTTAATTATTTCTTTATAAAAATATAGTATATTCTGCAACAAAAGCCATATAAATCCAAGTTTCATTCAAATAATTATAATTACTATTGTGAATATGTGAGTGTCGTAAAGTCATGATAAGTACTATACTTTTGCGCTAATACTTTTTTTTAATTGTTCTTGATAGTTTCTCTAAATAAAATTCTTTCCGAAAGAGAATTCGAAAAGTTCCCATAAAATAGAAAGGTTAGGTTAGGTTTAGCTGGCCGACGTTAATAACTAGAGTAATTGGCCAAAAATTTTCAATTGCTGCATAACTGTAGGAGAGTCCATTGATTGAAGTTTACGCTCACTTTTCGCATGGGGTCAGTAGTTGAAAGCATGTAAATAAAATATACGAAAACAAAGAAAGCAAACACACACACACTCGCAATTATAATATTACAAATAAAACTGCTGGTGCTTAAAAAGGCTAACAGTGATTAAATACAAATACAATTAATAATAAAATTTATAAGCATACATACACACATTCATACATATGTATGTAAATACTTGTGTGTATGTATATCTATTAAAAACAAAAAATTTTAAAACTATTAATTATTAAAATAATAATTATTTATAATTATAATAAATAATAAACTATCAATACATTATCAAGTACTTAATACATACATATGTCACATTTACAGTTGTTAACTATTAATTACATTTAGCTATTAAAGACACAAGGCCAGGCCAGCACTAAAGCTCGATAAAAAAGTGAGCGATAAATTACATCACTCATACGCCAAGGAAGACAGTACTAAGCTACATATATACAGTGACATTGTTAAATGCCAGTATTTAGTTTGACATACTTTCAGTTCACTTGCTGCAGTTACTAATTTTCTGTTTACGCTAATGTATGAAATAAAAAAGAGAAAAAAATTTGAGGCTAGAAAAGCTTTTTGCTGGAAAATCCTGAATTATAGATAGGCTTTATACCTCCCAACTATCCGAAAAGCTATTCAATTTCTATTTCCATTTTTATTAGAAATAAATTTCATTATACGTAGGTTTCCTTAACTGAAAAAGGCCCCGAGTACATTGAATACCTCGAAACTTGTAGTTGCTTGTCAACTTTTCTAAGAAATATTTTTCGGATTTAAAGAAGCCATTTTAACTAAAAATTACTATTCCTGGCAATTAAAGAAGCTTAGCCCGTTGTTTTGATTTGTAGATGAACTTTCAAAAAAAGTATGTAGGCAGCTAAAATCATAGGCAGACGGCAGCGTTGATCAGGATAAGCTCAGAAATTAACTGCAGTTGATCCGGATTAAGTAGCGCAGCTACTGGTCAAAATTAATACGGAAACGAAGGGGCATTTTCGGTGACCAAAACGGTCAGCTGTTGTCTATTGTGAATAAACTATAAACGAAGCAAACAAGTGGGCGAAAAAACGAGTTAGTTTGAAATCCGCGATAGTCGAGGGGTCAGAGGTGCGTGCTACAATTTAGTACGACTCAGGTTCGATACTCGGTTCGAGCAATTTTCAAAATTTATCATCATTGTTCATTTTATTATCAGTTTATTTAAACTATTTAATAAAATAATATTTTAAATTTCAAAATTCAAAAAGGCTCACAGCAGCTATAATTACATTGAAAAATAAATAAAAGTAATAATTCAACTAAAAAAAATAGATGAAATTTCTACTGGCTTAATCCGGATTAATGTCGCCTGTCAGTGTACAATTTTTATCGCATCAACTGTGCCGTCAATCCAAATTAACGTTGCCGTCTGTTTATGTATCGTTAGTGAAGTTAGATAAGGAGTTAAAAATTAAGTGTTAATTACGTAAATGAGAACTGAGACCATATCGTATAACTCCTGATTTAGAAAAAAATAGGAATGTTTTGAAAAATTCCCTACTTAATTTTGATCGGTTTACGATCTACCGTCTGTTAACTATGTTATATCATAAAGAGCACTATAAAACATTTTATAAATAAATTTATTAAAATTAGTTTTATGTCTTGGTAGTTAAGCTCATAATTGGAAAAAGTTATAAAAAATTATGTTTTACTTAAAAAAAGAGTAAAAAATACAACATACAAAAATCACACATACAAACATAAAATATGTTTCTATTAATTTAGTCCTAAAACATTTGTAGAACTATATATGCTTTTTGCGATTTGCTTCAATTTTCTAAACCGTAAAATTACTGGTATTTGCTTTGCGCCCAATGCAGGTAAAACAATGTTCTTAGCTTACGGCGTGTATACATCTTCATATATACATAAATATGTATATGTCCTTATGGTATATATTCGAAAATAAATATTTACTTTTCAGTTTACTAGAGGTTTGCATGGAAAATAGTTGCCTAAAAAGGTGAGTTTGGTAAATTTTCAAAGTTAACTTGTACAACTGCACTTTTATAGTAATTTAAGTAGACGTATGTACATACATAATTTTAAGCACGTTTTTTGATGCCTAAAAATTTTTAATTTTACAATATAAGATATTTTAAGAGTGGATTTAGATTGGTAATACAAAGAACTTTGTGGATTTTTAAATAAAATTTATCCTTTATATATAAACTAAAATATTCCAAAAATTTTACTATTTTGTGTTTTAAAATTTTTGCTTTTAATTTTTAAAGATAACCTCAGAAAAATATATAAAATGAGATCACGTTTTCAACGTACCGCGTTAAGATCTCAACCCTTGCTTGTGCAGTAGGTCCTCCAGCATCATAAAGGAAGTGCTCAGAAAAAAACCAAACTTAGGGAACTGCTAGGGATTTGGGAATAAGCTAGGGATTTGGTCAAACGATCTTTGTCGCTTATGTAACTCCGCCAAAGCGACATCTATGCACCTCCTCCTAGATTATGCGACCGTTTCTGGGAGAAATGAGAGGTACTTAAGACATCCATGGCCAAGAGAAGAGCACAAATGTACACTCTCTATCGCCGG